CTGCCTGGGTAGAAGTTACGCAAGTACTTTTTAAGGAATTCATAGACTTGTTAAGCGAAAGGTGTTTGAAGTTTGGTTCATTCCAGCGGTTTTTCACTGTTATTGCTTCCAAATTGGTATACATAGCTTTATATTTAATTTAGTACTACTCTAATTTGGATACATATTGTGCTGCCACCATCATGTTCATATCTTAAGCCAACTTTTGGGGTGCTGCCATAACACGATCCATATATCAAGTCACAACCTTTTCCAAACGGGCACGGCCAGATTTATCAAAATTCTGGTTGTTACTCTATAGTGTACCACTTGCTTTTTATAGTGCTACCATAGTTGGTATTGTCTGTAGCATGATCACCCAAGGCTTCCCAACACTACAGTGTGAGTGTACTACTGACAATCATTTTCACTTCCAGCTTGGTATTGCAAGGAGGCCTGGAATCTTGACTTATAACGCACCAGCATGTCACCCATTACTGAAGTTAGTAATGTACGACGTAATACCTAACACAACTTCTAGTCTTGTATAGTGCCAGAGGTGTTTCAAACCTAGTTAGGCCAATCCTTTATCACAGGTCTTTACCATATTCACCACATTACCTATTACTCCAGTTTTGTTGTACTAGTATTACCCTCCCAATCAAGATTCCCAGTGCTATCTGGGGTTGTTGGTGCTACCTTGCCAAACACAGATTTATATGTGCAACCTATTTGCCCCAAAACCTTCTGCAATGTCACCCATCATACGTAATGCCAACTCTCTATGGTTAGATCTCCTTCCGGGAATTCCTATTCTAGATTTGTACTTTACTTGGACTTCTACGGGGGCTCTGTGTCCGATTTTGGCTCCTTTAGATTACAGAGTATTTTTCGCCTTCAGCCCAACTCGAACCGTGAACCTTAACTTAATTACCGTGAGGGTTTGGCAACTTAACAAGTAAGCTATAGAGCCCAAACCCCAATGTTAAACTTATCTTTTGAGTTTCATTAAAATACTTTAGAAATATTATAATGCTCTAAAGGCTTTTTTTAAGCCTTTGTCTGCTGATTATGTACATGCAATATCTTTGACCAGAGACGATGACAGTGCCCTTAAAACTGTTTGTAATAAGTTTTAGAAGTCTTAAAGTGTGCCCATCTTGCAAATTCCATCTATAGCTTATGGGTTGAATATGTTTTAAAGCTACTATCAGAATATAATATATTAAAAATTTCTAATTCTAATAAGTTTAGGAATTCAATAGGTACTTTGGAAGAGGATAAGATTGATTAGACACTTTGGGGCGATAAAATCTTATTTGTCCCCAATTTTGTATTTATATTATATTTATATATTTGATCTTCTCTTCATTGTTTCTTTTCTAAAAGCTTTTCAAAAAAAGTAAATGTTGGATTCAAAAATATAGAAGGTTGTAAGTGGTTAGTTGACTTAAGATCACTTGCTAGAAAATCATTCAAAGTTTACAGGCATTGGATATATTCTCGAGATTAGTCCTTTGTGGACAGACGTGTTATTCCTTGTATTTTTTTGCTTGACCAAAGATAAAAAAAGTAAGTTAGTCTATAAAGACAAGAATGATAGATTATCTAAAGAATAGTAATTCTATTTTTCGTCTAAGTGGATATATTCATATCATTCCACATTGTGTAGTCTGGTAGTTTAAAACCTGAAAAGTCTGTTGGACCTTCCTCACCTTGCATATGCCCTGCATAGAAGAATGATGATTATGTCTTAGAAACTATGAAAGATAGAACTCTTTATCAAAATTTATACTTGTATAAAAATTTGATTAGCTTACTTCCTGAAGATCATAAAATATGTTTATTTTTTTTAATATAACTAGTTCTAGCATTGTAACAGTGTCTCTCTTCAAAGATCAAATGGTCTGGGTCTTTGACTTTGGCCTTTTTTATAATATACAGTTCTTTTTTACACAAATTCCTTTTAAAGGCCTTCAATAAAATATTTGGCAATGACATAGTAATAATACAGTAAGCAATTTTATAAAAATTTTTGAGAAAAACAAGTTAGAACTTTGTAGATAACTCTTTTATTATAGAGCTTGCCTATGCTTCGCATAAATCATTACTTATTTTTATTTAGTATATAACTATTTGATACGAAGCAGTATATATGATGCAAATGATTTAGCATTAGGATAATTTAACATAAGTCAACTTACAATTTTTATTTGCCATTATAATGATAATTTAACACTACATAACAAATAATTAAAATGTTTACTAAATTTGGCACTACAATTATAGAACATGACAAATCAACTATCACATATTTTTTATATTTAGGATTAAATTATTAATAACTTGTTGAAAGACATATTTGGGTATATGGGTACAGTAATAATTTTACATATTATATTTAAGCTAGATCTACAAATTTAGAATAACTGTTATACACTTCATTATTACCAGTATACTTATAACAAACATGTTCCCAATTTTTTTTACCAAAATGCAGAAGTGCAGAAGTATAAATACATAAATACCTATAAATATCTGTAAACATAAATGCATATTAGTTTAACACAACCATATAATTTTTATCGTTGACCATTAAATCATGTCAGTACCGATCCATACTAAAATAAATCACATAGACACGTATTAATACCGGTACTGTATATTTGTGCTGGTAAAAATAAAGTATTTATTATCACATGTCTTAACAGACTTGTGGGACTACCTTTTATTTAAAGCTTATCTACATTGATAGGTCAGAATTTTTTTATTACTTCTGAAGAGATGCTATATTAATACAGTAATATTGTAAATACAGAAGCAATATAAGGTTTTGTGACACTCTCCTGCAAAATTAATTCTCATAGTCGATTTTTAATAAATATTACGAATAATACCTAGACCTTTTTCCTTACTTTATATGATCCTGTGATAAGAATAGAACTCTGCGAAGTAGGACACTTCATGTCTAAAAAGGCTATAAGGGCAATGAGTATAATGTTCTTTATCAGTAGTTTTATCAAAATTTATATGTTGTGGGAACTTGGTATTCTCAGATTGTTGAGATCATCAGATCTAAAGCGATCAATGAATATAAGAGGCTTAATTTTACCAGAAAAATAACAAAATAAAACAGTGTTTGAAACTTATAGCCGAGCGAAGTTGCTTTATGTAGAAAAAAGCTGGCGTTGAATTTGGATAATGCAATTACTAATCATGTAACTTTTTTTTTCTGGCAGGTTTTTTAGATCTAGTGAACTGAATGGTATAAAAATGAATGAGTTCCCACCTTAAGATAAGTTAGCAATAACGTTATTTTTGCTTATATATATTTTTACTTAATTTACCTGCCCATAATTTATTTTTAAAGTAATTTTGCTATTTCATTTAACAGAATCTATAAAGATGAATTTTTACTTACTATGATTTTTCTTGTATTCAGATACAAAAAATGAGCGATAGTACCACCTCCAAGACCAACAATACCTCCAAGACTAATGATAGTAATGTCCCCAAAATCAACAATATCATCATCCCCAAGACTAATGATAGCACTACCACCACAAGTAATAACACCACCACCTCCATGACTAACAATCCTAATACCTCCAGACTAACAATTATAATGCTCCTAGAACTAACCAAAGAACTAATCAACAATATAATAATAGGAGAAACAGACATAGTAAGTAGAGGCATAGCCTTATTGCTTTTGCAATAAAATTCTGCTAAAGCTAAGAAGCTAAGACAATAAGCTAAAGAATCTCAATTTATTAATTTAGATAATCCAGACTATGTTTTCAAAGATAACGATTTTCTTGAAATGATCCTTTTTATTATGTTTCAAAAGAATATACACAATATTGTATAGATAATGATGACCATAGTCATCTAAGTCATAGGGATGCACTAAATATTCTAGATCAAAGTTAATAAATATTTTTTTATTTGTATGCCGTTTTGGCAAAAAAAAATTTTATTAAATAAAAAAGAGGGCCCTGTGGCCTTCCTATGTTTTATTTTTATGTGATTTTTTACAATGTAGTTTGCGATTATTAATTAGTGAAAACTATTAAGTTAACTTCATTAATCTATGCTTTTAATATGCACTGATTAAATAATCAGAATTCTTATAAGTTTTTTCCCGCTACTTAAATCATAGTAATAACTTGGTTCATCTTCATCAAAAAAAACCACAATAATCTCCATCATCGTTATTATCAGAGAATTCATCATCATTATTATCAGAGAATTCACCATCATTTTCATTATACTTATCAAATACATTTACAGTTTCTGGTTCTTTTGAAATTGATTTAGCAGATATGTTTATCTTAGTTTCTGGCAAAGATTTGACATTTTCATTTATTATAACTTTCAAATTATATGTATGAGACAACAGGATAGAGAGGGTGGTTGTAATACTTACCTCTATTTCTGATGAAATTCTTTTAGCTTCCTCATTAATCTCAGTTTTAAGTAAGTCATCAGAAGAATTATTAGTAAATTCTATTGCAGAGTTTTTAGTGAAATGATCAATAATCATTTGAATCTGTAAATTAGTAAATCTTGAAATACTATCTGCAGTATAATATTTGGTATACTGAATCTTATTCATTCCTATTTTCTCGAATAAGTTATAAACTCTTAATGCTTTTTGTGTTTGCTTGCATAAGTTTTCACGCTTTGTGTTAGAAAGTTGTTGAATAATAAAATCGTATACTTGTCCTTTTGCTTTTTTCTCTCCAACTCTACTATTAGCTATAAAATCTTTAACCATACCTTTAAACTTTTTAGTGTAGAAACACCAGCATAATATTTCTTCTTGATTAGCTTTGATAGCATCTTTTTCTGCATCACATGCATTTTGGTATAAACAAATAATATCTTGGTCTGAAGCTATTTTAGTTATATGATTTTGACAAATATTGTTCTGTGAAATTCTAGTTATATCATTCTGATCTTTAATGAATGTTGAAATCTCTTGTATTAAACCTTGCTCCTTTTTCTGCTCGGGAGAAATACTAGATTTAATATTAGATATGTAAATGTCCTCTTTTGGAGAACTTTCAGTAGGTGGCCCATGTTAAAGCTTTTTTTCTCTTATTTTGTTACGAATCTGTTCATTATGTTTTTCAATCAGGAAATTATCTATTTTCTTACTTTCTAATGATTTAAGCTTTACATATATGACTAATGCAGTCGAAGATAAATTGGAGACTCGAGATGAAGTTTCTTCTTGATATTTATCAGAATTTGAAGCATTATTAGTTATATCAATATCATCACATAGTAAATTTATATCTTCAGGAACATCATTAGAATTTACAGGATATGAATCAGAAATTCCAGGTTCTATATCTTGCGAAATATTAGTAACAATTTGATTGCACACCATACTCTTGTCTTGTCCTTTGATTAGTGAAACGTCATATTCCAATTTAGCTATAAGATCCATTTTTTCTTTATTGTTCTGCTCAAGTTTAGTGATAAGGTTAGTTTTTTCTTTATCTTTCTGTTCTAGATTCGTAAATCTGACACTATGTTCTTCTAAAGTTTGTTTTAATTTTTTATTTTCAGTTTTAACATTTACATTCTTAGCTTTAAGTTCGATATTCTCAGACTTGATTTCAGAATTCTCCCTTCTAAGTTCTGCAATTATGGCAATAAGCTTTGAATTTAATTCTCATAATGAAACAGTTTCGGATAAGTCTTCAGTCTTTTCTCCCTGTGTTTGCATATTTAATACTATCTTATATAACTTTATCACAATTGCTCAGAAAAAGATTTTTATTAACCACATCTTGGCTGTGTCTGCACAAAGTGCTGAAAAATTTTTTGCTATTCTAATGCTTTTTAATTTCAATTATTTTTATAAGATATCTTTTCGAGAGAACCAAACCAGAAGTCATGTGACGAAATTTCACAGAACAATGTTCGTCAAAAAATGCCAAGAAAAATTTTAAAAATTCTCGATCATGTGTGAGTTATACATCGGTATCAATACAATAAATAAATTCACGAAATATACACGCAAAAGTAAACTGATTATTTATGTGAAATTGAGCCACCGGGGCCAGCTTTATTAATGTAAAAAAAAAAAGAAAAATCCAGGATGGAGCTCATATAAATTCAAGATTTGTTCTGAAGATTCCCGCTTTTTTTCTTATTTAATCTTTGTTCACGCAAAGGTGGGTTTATATCACTTACCTTTCTGGTTCTTGCCTGTTCTTCTCTGGTTGGTGATGAAACAGCGGGGCTTGGTCGAGCATTTCGAGGTGGATTGGTATCTGCTTGCTCAAGTGCTCGCTTTAGCAAACTCTTATTCACGATCAGGGTATTCTGTATCCATACATAAAACATAGTTCATCAGCTAAACATAACGATGAAAGCAGAATTATATAAAAAATTGTAATATATATCCATACCCTCAAAGTTAATAATAGGCGTATAAGAGGTTTCACGCGCCACGGTGTATCTGTTGTCAGTGGTATCTCTGCTTGATCAAGGTGGAAATACCGAGGTATTCCAGCACCATCCAACATAAGGACATTTAAATGCACAACCTCCCCAGCGACTTGAATTCCTACAATCCCAAATTGGTTGCTAGCCGGTCTGCATGATTTGCCAACGTAACTTATTCCGTCCAATGCTTCCCTCCATAGCTTCACCGCATCATCATCTCTTTTTGTATTAGTGCAGACAACGCGGGAGCATTCAACATATACAAGCTCATCGACCTTCTGTTCATGCTTCACCAACACCATGACATCCGGCTTTTTTCCAATTCTGGGATTGTAGGAATTCAAGTCGCTGGGGAGGTTGTGCATTTAAATGTCCTTATGTTG